AACAAGCTGCAATGAAAACAAGCAGAAATGAAATAAAAGGAACAACTTTATACTTCTTGTCTTTTTAAAAATGTAAGAAGTAAAAAGTAGACTGAAAATAATTACTCAAATAAAGTACAGATACACAAAAATTCTACTTAAGTACAGTAACAAAGTAWTTGTACTTAGTTACTTTACAGCTCTGTACAAATGTTTTCAGCAGCAACATTACTTTTGAAGTAATTAACTAAAGTTGTAGGATAAATGAACATGATGCTGCTTTAATAATTCTGTTAAAGTCATATTTACACGTTTTATTTACATGATACAAAGTTTAACTAGAATTCAGTCAAATTAATTCAGGTTCAGTTTTAAGACAAACATTTAAATAATGCTGCTCTTACAGTAATCATCATAACCATTAGTGTTGTTTTAAACAGTTTGTAAATGACTGTCCGACATTCAGATTGTGTTTTGGTGAAACTTGTCTCCCACTCCTCCCAATAAACTGGTAAACTGGTTCAGTACTCTCTCACCTTTAATATCATTCAACACTTTTTGTTTCTTCTCATGTTCATTTCAGTTCATCAGGACTTTTAAACTATCCGTTGAGTTTGAAACAAAATGTCTGACGTCTGTTTAAAATCACAGCGAGCTTTAATCAGTGTAGTTTTACAGCATTAAAAACATTTTAAACAGCTGTGACACAACTAAACAGGCTGAAGGATACTCTATCACATCAACACTTTTCTACAGACTACAAGCAGATAATTGAGTTTTTAGTTTTCTCTGAACGTCCAGGTCCCACACAGAAGATGAACTTGTTCCAGTCAGTAACCAGTGCCTTGGACAACACCCTCGCTAGTGATCCTACAGCAGGTAAGATGCTGACTATCTGCTTTAGAACATGTAGATTTGGGTGTTGTGTTAAACTTACATCTTTAATTTGCTCTTAGTTTGACTACATAAAGCTTACTAACTTGACAAATCTTTCCCAGCTAACAGCACATAACACATGCTAACAAACACGGTTCATAAGGACTGATATAAGCAGAAGAATGAGAGGAAGCTGATGAAGAAGCTTCATCATCACAGAAGATCACTGACAACACAGACGGCTTTAGTCTTTGTGTTGTCTGCACTCATGGAAACACAATGCAGGAAGTTCTACATACAACACTTTAAACAAAGCAACACCTGTGTGTTAGATGAGCAGGTGAAGTGTAGGTGACCTGCAGCAGTGAGAAACACTGCAGAACAAAGCTCTGAACCTCCATCTAATAAAAGTTAAATATGTCAGCAGCTGTTTCATAAGTGACAACACACACACAAACACACACACACACAGACTCACACAGCTGAGGAGTTTGTGTGAGTCTGTGTGTTTTGTTTTTAGATTTGGAGAGAGCGTGGCCAACAGAAGGAAAATGAAAGAGTTTCTGAGAAAAGCAGTTTTCTGTCGCTGCTGGAGAATAATCTGTTCATTAATGACAGAAAACAAGAATGTTTGTCCATCAGAGAACGACTGTAAACAAACTGCTCTGCTGTGTGAACTGGACTTTTATTAGGACACTGTTAGGACCTCAGTCTGTACTGTAGTAAGAGCTCTTCTTACAGTACAGACTGAGGTCCTAACAGTGTCCTAATAAAGTCCAGTTTATTAGGACACTGTTAGGACCTCAGTCTGTACTGTANTCTTCTTACAGTACAGACTGAGGTCCTAACAGTGTCCTAATAAAGTCCAGTTTATTAGGACACTGTTAGGACCTCAGTCTGTACTGTAAGAAGAGTTCTTCTTACAGTACAGACTGAGGTCCTAACAGTGTCCTAATAAAGTCCAGTTTATTAGGACACTGTTAGGACCTCAGTCTGTACTGTAAGAAGAGCTCAAACTGATGGGATTTGAGATGTTTCTTTCCTCCTATTTAAACAGAACCTGTCAGCCTGTCTGTGGGTCAGTACTCTGTGGGTCAGTACTCTGTGGGTCAGTACTCTGTGGGTCAGTACTCTGTGGGTCAGTACTCTGTGGGTCAGTACTCTGTGG